GCTATCATACTCGATATAGCTAGCTAACTCAATAAAAGTGGTACGGATAGCTAGCTATCACAAGCCGATATTGCCCGATAACATATTTTTATAGCTAGATAATCTCAAAGGCATTTTTTTGCTTGGGAATTCAATAAGCTACCGATGCTCGAAACAATTACAAATGATACGGGTCATCTTTCGAGCATACCTGTCCTATGCTTGCTTCTTAATTCTAGGTACTCACGTTCGATTCATCGTCACAGCAGAGTAATTTGTTTTAGTTTCTTTCTTCCTTATCTTGTGAACCTTGACTTTAAGACAGTCGTGGATGGCCGTGTGAGAGCATGGAGACTCTCTGTATACGTCAACTCGATTTTGAATTTAATTTTTAAATTTTTTCAAATTTAAAAATTTAACGCGTTTCTACCACAAAAATGGTGTACGTGTTTTTCGAGCAGAAAATGTGGTGGAACATACACAAAAGTTAATTTTACATGTCAGGGCGTCTAAGAGTAGAACAGGTAACCACACGACGCTTTGAAGGTATAAGAAATCATTTTTCATGACCCCGTATTTCTTCGATGCAGAACGTGCAGTTATACGGGATACCCGTATTTTTGAACCGTTCAGATCCCGTCACCCCGTGGCAAATGGGAGGCGGATCCGTCCAATGAGAAATATTACGGACCGTTTTTCTAGTTTTCGGACCTCGTCTTTCTACCCGTTTTTACGCTCTTGGGTGTGAAGTGTAAAATGCATTTATTTTGAAAACTACAGCATTCCAGAGAAAACCAAAAACGCCACAAATTTTCTAATTAAAAACTTTATTTAATTTAATGCATTTTATTTAGATGCACTCAATCAATTTCATTTTACCTAACATATATGCATTCGCCAATGATTGTACTTTTTAATCGTACAACAATCCGTCAGTCCCCGTACCATAATTGTATTACTGTTTGTCCAAAAAGAATAGACTTTGCTACTTTTTCAATAACTTGTGACAGAAAGTGTCTAGAGATCTCCGATTTTCAGTATTTGAAAGACGACACTTGAAGGCATGATTACATAAGCAAATATTTTTTTGCTTTTAGAAAAATATATTTAAAAAACTCGTGAACACTAAGTTTTACGAAAATTAGGGTTTCTACGCTCTTTTCCCATCATATTGAAAAATTCACCATTCACCCAGAAAACCGAAGAACGAGTTAGAAACGCCCGGATATGCATAGTTTTGGGAAACTTTTGCAAAAACCATAGAATTTTGTAAATTCTTTTTTGTAGATTTCTTATAAATTAAATATAAATAGCCTAAGTACTGTACATCGTGATGTTTTTAACTCGTTCTTCGATTTTCTGATCCAATGGTAAATTTTTTAATATTTTGTGAAACGAATGTGGAAATCCTAATTTTCGTAAAACTTGGTGTCCACTAGTTTTTTAAATGTTTTTCTAAAAGGAAAAATGTTTGTTTACTTCGTTAACTTTAACATTAAAACAAACGTTTTACCGAAAAAACTTGTTACTAATTTTTTTCAAACTCTTCTACATTCTTTGATTTTTTTTGTTAATTAAAACTATTTTTGAGAATCGAAAGGGTATCAGGTTTTGTTCACTTTTTCATGTTGGTCCGAATAGTATAGAAGTGCTTTTTCTGAAAATATTTTCTAGAAAATTTTTGGAAGTAATCGGAGATTACCTAATAATCTCCAACACAGTGTCAGGTTACATAAGAAAAAAAATAAAGTATTTTCTAAAATCATAAAGTAATTTGCATTGATTTTGACTTGTTTATAGTTTTTTATTCATTCTTATGAAGCAGCAAGAGCTTATCGCAAAGATGCAAAAATTGCTATTTAGATGAACGACTCTTATACCACAATGAGACGTCATACATCTAGAAAACAACAATTATTGAATTATTGATTCTCTTACCATCAACACTTAATAATCCCTGAGCTCTCAATTTTTCATCCATTTCTGATTGCTCAATTAATTTTAATGCACGATCACTAGCCATATCAGATTCCTACAAATGTTTGTCGAATTTTATTATTGAATAATATGGCATTGCTGTAACTTACGCCTTGAGTATGAATGAGAAAATGTGATAGTTCTTGAGCATTCATCTTTATCGAGTCAAGTGACATTGAATCACCATCTTTCACGTGTCTAAGAATAGAAGAAAAAGTTTTAAATTGAATATTTCAGAAACGAATCAAATGACGCACTGTTGCATTATTTTGTACAAATCTTGTCGTCTTGTTAATGATTTGAAAAATTGAAGAAATTCTTCAGGATTTAATAGTCCTTCTTTGCTTATATCAGCTTCCTGAAAAAACCTGCATCATTTCTTAAAATCAAAGATTCACTTTTCAACTTACTTTGAACATCAATTGGAACAATCTGTTCGGCATTTTTGTATTTAGTACATCTGTCAATAAGGATTGACATTCCTGTTTTGTTAATGAGCCAGAATCGTCTTTATCAGCTATACGAAATTGATTCAAAATCCAGCTAAAAGTGTTTGACATGGTGAATAGCCTTTACAGAACGATCCAAGATCTAGTCGAAATAGAACATTTTTTAATCGTAGCTATTTTATATATACAAAAAAAGCTATCATATAGGAAAATGGTTTCTATCAAAGATTCTATTAACATATTGCAGAGGTGTGTTGCTGACATTAAAGGCAGTAATTCATCTTTTTGACTAAGTTTTTTGCAGTCATTACCAACATTATGTACACGTACCTAAAAGCATGTCGCTAGCACAATTCTGTAAAAAATCTCGCAGAATACCCGTTCTGCACCAGGTCGAAGACTATGGGGATTTCAAAAATTTTCCTATGGGAATTCTCTATGCAAGATCCATTCACCATGTTGTTTTGTCGAGTCACACGACGTATGAGAAACATTGATTTTGAAAAACTTCAAAGTTTTTGTCATATTAGCAATTCACTACTACAAGATTGGCATATTCTAGATTTGACCTTCACTTGAATACAAACATGAAATGATAAAACGCTCGCTTAAATGTCGAAAAATAAGTAACAAAAGTAAAAATAATTGCAGCGGCAATTTTTGCTGTGACTCTCGGCAAAATGAAAACACCTGTGGAAGTTTTCCGAGGTTGTCAACTAGTAACGCTACAACGTACTTGTCTGTGTTAATAAACTTTGCTACTCCGCTTCGTGAGTAACGCTCCATAAGTAACTGCAAACCGTTGATCCATGTATCTCGGGTAATTTGATCGCGTGCCATCAAATCAAGCGCATGCTGATGATTATCGTACATAATCGTAAATGCAAACATCTCCTGTAAAATAAACAAATTAATTCAATGTTATGAGCAGTGCCGTGTATCCTTACGTCAGAATCGTTGACTCGTCGTTTGCTGAGCAAACGTTTGAATGTGTTCGAATGATAACCACAACGAATTTCATCAATTTCTTTTATCAAATCTAAATGAAAAACAGTGACTACGTTAAATGTGACAGACCACATAGAATAAGATATGAAACTATTGAGTTGATTTGGTTACGTACAAACGTTTGGTTTTCCGAATAATTTTCCCGACTCATGATATGACAACATATCTTCACTGTTGTATAAATAAAATTGTCTCGGATACTTTGTACCATCTGGTTTACATTTGAATAGTAATGCACCAGTTTTCATACGAAAGAAAACATCATCACTTGGATTGATGGGTGTTGCTTTAACCAATGCGGTGGCTATCGCTGAATATGATGTTGGCTGTTGCTGTCTCTTATTTGACGATTTCATAGGATCAAAATTTTTAATTAAGTCTGTTGTGTACAGATAAATGTGTAATTATTATTTGATAACTATGATGTGATTTTCATATGTCGTACCTTTGCGTATCAAAAACATGCATACATCTTTTTACTCTGTTTATAAGCAGGACACTTCAGGAAGAAATGTTCGAAGTTCTCTAGTACACTTGTAGTAGGGTTTTGTGATAGGCAAAAATAGCAGAAATAGTCATTAATTAGTTGGCGTTGCTTAAGATGGAATTTTAGCACGGAAAAATCCAATCTAAAACAGACGGCACAACTCAAACGCGGAGAGCTTTATCTGAATATCAGTATGAATGAGTTTTAAATCTCTCCTAAATATTTGCGGTTTACAATGAGAAGCCATTGATGGATGGTCTAAAGTTAGTTTATTCCATTCCTTAAGGTCTTCATCCCTCCTGCAAAATTGATTTTCGATCAAGTGCATGAGATTGCCTATGTTCTCTTAAGTAAAATCCTTTTCGACAAATATTCGAAATCGATTTTCTAAGAGGTCATCAGAAACCAGTTCGGATCTTCGGAAACTAAAGTGGCAATCTATCAGTTGTTTTTCATAGATATATAGTCTAAAGCGTCCTCTCCAAAATGGGAACTAAGCGAGCTCGTAGTTTTTCCGGATGCAGATGTGGAATCGGAGATGCTGAGAGTCCCAGGATCAATATTTCTTTCGATGTGGTAATTCCGAAAACGAATGGAAACATAGGTAGTCAACCACCCTGACTCTCGCGACAATATTTATTTTTCAAAAATCTAGTGAAAACCAATATTAGAATATAAATAATCCATTTTCGCTCAATCATAATCAATTATCATCCGAAAGTTTTCGCCGGATGATTCAGTACGCTTGGTATGCTAGCGGATATACGGACGCTCATCCAGGACCTTCTAAAACAGTGGCTGAAGTCCAAAAGTCCAAAAGCTTCAGCCACTGATGTTCCACTATTCTCAAAAAATAGCCATAGATCGTTTTATTCTCATTTCCTCATAGGATATCTTGAAAATTCAATATCTTAGGAATGAAGGCACGAGGGAATGAATCCTTTTCAGGTCTTTCATATCTCATCGAGGTCTACTTATGGCCAAAAGATGAAGTCTAAACGGCTTGAATACTTGGGGACCTTCCCTCGTGAGTTATGAATATTTTAATTTAATAGGCAAAAATGGGCTATTTCACCTAATATTGGTTTTCACTAGATTTTTGAAAAATAAATATTGTCGCGAGAGTCAGGGTGGTTGACTACTTATGTTTCCATTCGTTTTCGGAATTACCACATCGAAAGAAATATTGATCCTGGGAACATCTGCATCCGGAAAAACTACGAGCTCGCTTAGTTCCCATTTTAGAGAGGACACTTTAGACTATATACCTATGAAAAAAAATCGAAAATACACCTTGTTGATCACCTTGCTATAATAGTCGCCTCAGACAGCTGCAGAATTTTCTAAAAAGCTCTTTACAAATCTTCGAGATTCAATAATATTTTCATATATTTGTAAAGCAGACAACTCAAACGACATACTCATATATCTATCTCAAAACGAAAATCGGCGTTTTGAAGGGAAGAAGCGCGGCTTTAATAACAGAAGGAAAGTAAGATATTTTCTACAATTAAGCGTTAGGGCGACGATTAGTAACTGAATGAGTGATCGCTAATGGAGATCGAATCACCGAAATAATGGCCTATACGTCTGGCCTATATAATCTCAACTATAGTGGGAGAAAAGTTACTGTAAGACAGCCCCGAGGACTGAGCGCGTGGTTAGAGTCTTGACTCGTCGCGAAAAAAGCGGTCGCAAAACAAAATTTACAAACAAGTCGAATTTAAAATATCAAAATAATTTTCTTTCTTTAACCGCAACAAACTCACAAGGACCAATTCAAATTTCAAATCTTGATCTTTTTCTGTTATTTTCGATATTAAAAATGTTGAGCTCAACCTCGACCCAATTCGTTCTGTCGCCTATGATATAGTAGCGTTAAAACAAGTAGATACTTGCGTCAAATATTTCATAGTAGAGTGATAAAAACATGTTTACCTTTGTCGAGATCATTGAAGCTGAAAGTTAAATTGAAGAATAATGTATTTTTCATTGAGTCAACAGACATGCAACAAAACCTGACAGTGTGGAGATGTACTCCCAATCGGGATATCATTTTTTGCAGCAAAATGTTTTCTATACCCCGAACGGGATATAGTTTGAAATTATATCCCGATTGGGATATCAAGAAAATCTATATCCCAATCAGGATATTAAGAATTTTAATTTTTAATTTGTTAGAAAATAATAAATTTTAATTATATGAGAGTTGAATAGTCTTCTCCTTCTTCTTTATTCCCCTCTCTAATGTTCCTAGTAGTGTCTTTTGTTTTCTCCAGGTGATCGAAGAGACACATATATCTTTTTAACAGACGTAAATAGATTTTTTCTATTAGACATCTTTCATATGTGTGTGTAGTATAAAATATAATAAAAAAATAGTTGCTGGGTGCTTGATGCACTTTTGATCAAACACAACAGAATCCGATGTAGTTTTCCGAGCTCTTTCGAAGGGTGAAGTCAATTTTACCCCAAAATATCGTCGTTTTCCCCTTAATCGTTTTTACGACGAAATTTCATGTTTTATATCCCGATCGGGATATAGCTATATCTTGATCAGGATATAGGAGGTGTCCTCTTACTGTTAGAAATAGAGAAAACGAAACGACAGTTGAAATTGAAATTTTTTGTTGGAGTCATATGGGAAGGCGTTGTACATGAAAAAACGGCTTGATAAGCAGCGGTAAACCAAAAGTTAAAATTTTTTATCGTCTATAAAACGTATGGGCACCGAATAAATTGAGTCTTGTTGGTTGTTGGTGAGTTTTGCATAAATCACCTGTGTTTCATTCTGGAAACTATCGAGATTCATTTTGTATAAAATAATCGGTTTAAGACTATATTTATTATCGCTAAAATCGATATAATCGAGATTCTTCTTGTACATATTCATCATAGATGATTCCAATACGGAAAAATTGGACGGCGATCGTTTGTTCGACATCGACGCGAGAAAAAATGAGCGCCGAAATCTAATCCTACCGTCAGCGTCCTCATCATCACTTGGTCGACGATGGCTAATCAGGCTACCTACAGCAGGTGTCACAGGCTGGTAGGATTCAGAACGATGCTGCTCGTCACTTTTCCATAACAACATGTATTCATTTAACGTTTTTATCAGGCGATCGGGACGACTGCTGTATGCATTATGCCAATAAACGAAATCCCACACTGTGCTATGTTCAGATAGTACTTCGGTTTCAATAGCAAGCTTTTCCATAATGCTTTTTTTCAGCTGTTCGCGTTCATCCGTACAGCCATTAAATAATTTAGCAGAATTTAGTATTTGAAGAACTAAATCATCCATCGTTTCTCTAAACAAATATCGTATACTCAAATGATTATGGGGTGGAGATAACTGCATGTCTCTCAATCTCGAATACAACTTGGTTCCTAATACATGATCGTTTGTTATTTTAATATCTATCCGTTTTCTGCTATGTAATAACGTGTATTCGAAGTAAAATGCGTGGAATATTTGTGGATATTGTTGTAGATTGGCATGTAATCGGTTACATGTCTCATTTGTTGAACATTCGATGGTAAAATAAGTCGTATAATGTTGTAATGTATCAGACTTCCATGATTGATCCAAACGGTAGTCAGGTACTATTGAACTTGTCTGATGTTTCCATACTACACGAGTTGTATTTAATGGTATCATTTTTATCTGACATGTTAAATTTCCTTTACAGCGGTCAAGATGTTGAGCAATAATTGTTTGTACTGTTGAAGTATATAAAACCAATGAGAAATACAAAGATGTTCGATTAATAAGAATATTTTCAATAATTTTTGTCTGATTTATATTTAAAATGGCTAACGGTGAAACGAAATAACGCATGGGTCTCCGACGATCTTCGTACACCGATAGTTCACTGTCAAGATAGGACACACTAGCTACTATCGACGGAAAAGCATCAGAATTACAATGAATTTTTGGAAACATTATCAAAAGAAGGAACTTTACGCTTAGAAACATTTTCGGTCTGTATTCGATAACAAGAACAGAAAAATGACATCAGTTATGTTTTTCCTACTAATGCTCTTAACAAAATAGTTGTTATCGGTTTTTTCTGATCAAATCAGAGAAAAAAGAGACGATTATGTTTTATACCCTAACACTCTATGCATTTTACTTCGAATACACGTTATTACACAGCAGAAGACGGATAGATATTAAAATAACAAACGATCATGTATTAGGAACCAAGTTGTATTCGAGATTGAGAGACATGCAGTTATCTCCACCCCATAATCATTCGAGTATACGATATTTGTTTAGAGAAACGATGGATGATTTAGTTCTTCAAATACTAAATTCTGCTAAATTATTTAATGGCTGTACGGATGAACGCGAACAGCTGAAAAAAAGCATTATGGAAAAGCTTGCTATTGAAACCGAAGTACTATCTGAACATAGCACAGTGTGGGATTTCGTTTATTGGCATAATGCATACAGCAGTCGTCCGGATCGCTAGAACACAGGTGATTTATGCAAAACTCACCAACAACCAACAAGACTCAATTTATTCGGTGCTCATACGTTTCATAGACGATAAAAAGTTTTAACTTTTGGTTTGCCGCTGCGTATCAAGCCGTTGTTTCATGTACAACTCCTTCCTATATGACTCCAACAAAAAATTTCAATTTCAACTGTCATTTCGTTTTCTCTATTTCTAACTGCAACACGAAATGAGAAATATTCTTTCAAAGCCACGGAAGGCAGAAGAATTGAAAAAAACCGAGTTATTGTTGATATCTTGATCTTGTTTATCACCGAAGAAAGTTGTTTTTACGTTTATCGTCCAGACTAGCGATGTTATCAGATGAGGTCATTATTTCCCATATTTTTCCTCGTTATTCTCTGATGAGAAGAGGAAAAGGAATTGTGTATATTCTTTTCTTTCTTTTTCACTTCCGAAAACATGATATGACAATGAAGGAACTATATTTATGATGGAAACAACCAAATGATTGAAGATGACACTATCTACAAAAGAGTTCTTTGACGATTGAAGTCTAACTAACTTCAAAGTAAGGTCATATTCATCATCAAAGTCCGTACGCTGTAGTAAGTAAGTTGTTAAGATATAACAGATGCTGATGACAATACGGTAAAAACAAAAATCTGGAACCGTTATGAACCTTAGCGGAAAATCAGGAAATGAGGTCATCTGGTATTAGTGTTCATCCCGTTCTTTGTTGTTATTGTCACTCTCGTAAAGGAACTGTATGTGCTTGCTTGTGTTGGAGACATGATATGAAGTAAAGAATCCAGAATTTAGTTAAAGTTCATAGAAAGCGTTTTCTGGCTATAGTAAGTTCAATAAGAAATACGTGAGTGTGATTCTACTACTGAACTACGATGAAAGTGTTTTCTGATACAGAGTTGCTTGAATAAGCTCTTAGCTGTACCGAAAAAGAGGCTAAAGACGTTCTTCACATGCTCCGTTTGACTAGCTCGATAGAATTATCTCCTACACATTCCTTCAGCGTTTGTTTAGAAAGCTAAAATCGACTTAACGCTGTGTTACATTAGATTGTGAAAACAAATAACTTTAGACACATCATGTAAGTTACTTCGATCTAAATGGAGCCTCATATTCGTTTTCGTGCCATATTACTGAATGTCCAAGATCGTCTGTCAGACGATGATCGTATAAAATTACACTTTATTTTTGGGGACATTATTCCACGACGCGTAAGAGACGATCCATCCTTATCTGGCACATAGAAATTAATCGAAACACTATTCGACAAAAGAAAAATAACTGATCTAGATTTCACTTATCTCATCAATGCATTTGAACAAATTCAATGTTTCGATGCTGCTGAACGTTTAAAAGGTAAGCATACGTCATAGTCAACGCCTGATTGATTTCCTGCAGAAAAAACTTGAGTTTAAGTTCTTTACTGATTTTATTTTAGAACATCAGCAATTAAAATCTTTAGGAAACTACAGGATTTCAGACAGTTTAATTACTTATAATCCAGCCAACAAGTATCCTGACACTCTTGAAAATGACAGATTTATTATCCAAGATAAACCAAGCAAAAGTGCATCAGTTAACCGTAGAAGTAAAGTTATATATGGCCTGATTTTCACAGTTGTTATAGCTGCTTTAGTTACAACAACAATATTGATAAGTAAGCCCCTGAAGTCAAAAAAATTATACTCTGAAAAAAAAGCGTATACTAGGAAACTCCAAACGCTTTAAGAGCCCTTTTGAAAACTATTTTCCATATTCTAAATGATCTGAAAAACCCCGTTCGGTATTTGAGAATAGACGTAGGACATTGGAACTCTCGAAAACCCTTTGGATGAAATAAAAACTTTCTAGTACTCAAAACGATATCCTCGAATACCGAACAGAATATTTTCTAAAACTCTTTTTTTTTAAACGTTTTCTAAAAGCTAAAGTAGATCAGGAAAGTCGATTGTCGATTTTAGAAAAGATCTTTTCGAATGTTAAACTTATTTCGGAAACACTTTTCCGTTTTGTATAATAACATTTTCTTATTTTTTGATTCGAACGCAGAATGATAGTAAGAGGAAGATTCAAATTCCGTCTCCGTTTTGCAACACGCTTCTAACTTCCATGATTATAACTGCTCTAATAAACTAATTGTACTTTCTCGCTAAAGAAAAGCGGAAGTGATTGAATAAACAAGTAATTTTCTTTCTTTTCAGTCAATCAAGCTACTTTCTATTTCAAAATTCTGAGCACACCCTAGATAAAGTGTTTATCATATTTCTGGACGGATCCTTTCTCCTTCTTTATTATAAGTTAATTAATCTTCGGCATTCTTTACATACGTGCGTTAAAAAATTTAAAAAATATTCACGTTACGTTTGTTACTTCCACTATAAAAAAGTAATTAGGTATGCAACAGTTCTGGTTACTCGGCATAATCGAAAAATGTTTTTCTATTTGCGCATCAGAGACCGAAATGGGTCGGGTCAATGTTCGCGTCTGATTAGGTCGGGTTTCGGTCAAAATAAAAATATATTTCGGGTTCGTTCAGAAAAAAATTTCTAATCTTTCATGCGTTTTTCTCCGAAAAATCCAAAGTTTCACGGTCCAATTTTGAACATTTTTTCTCTAGAAGGCGCATTTCAGATGTTTCCTTCACACTGTTCCAAAAGTATTTTCAAGAGGGTGTGCAATACAAAAATGTTTCCGATTATATCGGTTATGATCTGTTTCGGTTTAGTCGATTAAAATCCGAAATCGGTACATGTCTAAAAGTAATCATGCGTCGCGGAAGAAAAGGCTACATAGAATTTCTTTTTGAAAAACGATCTTGACTGGGTTTCCAAAAACGAGTTTATAAACGAAATAAGAAAGATTTCTGAAAGGGTAGGTACTAGAACTTACAAAAACCTTTTTTAAGAGTCGTCGAAAATGTTAGTATATGATATCCTTCTGGGTATTCGAGAGTTCGAATACACTTTCGAAAACCCCCCCATTGAAGGGTACTCTCGAAAACGCAAAAGGGTATTATATAGTAACATTTTTCAAAACTATTTTCAAATTTTCGAGAATATTCTTCTTTTTTTTTACAGTGTAGTGATATTTTTGCTGTTCAAATTCTTTTTCATATCGTGCTGACTATAATGACCGGCGGTATGGTTAAAATATGAATTGACAACTAGCGCTCAAATCTCTATAATGTAGTCGTGAGCAGTAGTAAAGTTGTTCAGCTCTTTTTTCTTTTTTGGTAATTATTAGTTATCAAGATAAATATTAGTGCCTTCTCTTTTAAAAAAAAACGGTTTATTACGAAACTTAAGATGGTATAGAGAAATGCAACCGTTTCTAAACCCTTTTCGGTTTCGTAGAAGACATGGTGCAGTACGAAACCGTTTTAAGTACATTGAAACGATTGATCAGTGCATTTCATTATTCCGTTGCGTTTTTTTCTCATGACTTTTTCTCGAAAAATCAAAAATTACAGAAATTTCAGATATTTTTTGGGCTTATTTTTCGCCAGAGCTCGAAAAGCTTTTGTTAACGATTGTGCGCGTAAGTCGGATCTGGTATGAAAAAAATTGATGCATTGAGTCCATACATGTGTGAACGACTCTGTTATGAGCGAAAAAGAAGTATTCGAAAAGGGTTTAGTTCTGTAGGTCAGAGACACATGACGTATCCCTTTATTTCACATTTTGAGTACTACAGCAATTTAGACTCATGAGAGAAGCGTCGTTCTTTTTTCGTACAACCTGATAAAATATCTTCGCAATAATACTCAATAAATATAAGAGAATTCTTGTTGTTGATAGTTTCTGACACTTCTTGTGTTATATATTTTTACTATTAGAGGCAAAAATATCTATTAGACATGAGAGTCGATGTCACACTAAAAGATACAAATACCAAAATAAAACTGCAATAAAACTACTGAGACGTACAACGTATAGTCGTTTAATTGTCTTCGCTAATGCTTACCTTGAATAGCTATTTGACCCTCTTCTATCATCAGAAGTGCGCAATGAAAAAGTATCTGAAAGTATCTTTACAAAGAAAAAAACAGTCGTCTGTTAAACTTCATATGCTCTTTGTTAATGTAGTTTTAGCCCGCAACCGTAACAACACTTTGATTTGTCCAAATCACAAAACTGATTCAGAAATTCTTGCTTTATTACCATTTCGACTACAAATAGCCTCTAATGATTATAGTCAATCAAGTGCAGCTCAAAGTAGTAAAAATGAAGTTATTGGACTACATATCCAGAGAGAAACATCATCGCCAATTATTTTCTGTTTCAAAAATTTATATTTTCTACAAATATCATTCACAAATCTCTCCGATGAATATTATCCATCAAGATATCACAATAAACTAAGTCAAACTGAAATGAAAAATAGTCGAAAATATTCGTCATTATTAAAATTACACATTGGTAAATTAAAGTTAACATTAAACGTTCTATCTCTCTTCAATATTCCCTTTGATCATGTACCATCTGAAATAATAAGATTAAAAAATTTAACTACTCTTCGTATTGAACATGCTGGTTTAAAACATCTACCATCTTCGATTTCCGAACTACAAGAACTGAAAGAACTATATTTAGCAGTAAATAAAATTAGCTCATTACCATCTGAAATTGTGTTGTTGAAAAAATTAAAATTGTTAGAAATCTCGTATAATCTCATCTATGAAATGGAACTAGTATTATCTTTAACAACATTGTTTATTAGCGGTTTAAAATTAAAAATGTTACCATATTTTCCATTGTTATTGAATTTATCTATGACTGATAGTAACTTATCGTCACTTAAAAACTTTCAACTATCTCCATCGTTAACATTTTTAGTACTAACACAAAATAATTTTCATGGAAAAATTCCAGATGAAATATTATCATTGACAAAATTAGAACAACTCTATTTACATCTGAATTCAATCACTGATCTATCGGGTATCAGCAGATTAAAAATGTTAAAACAATTAAATTTACGAAATAATAAATTGAATACAGTGTCCTCAGAAATTATGCAGTTAAATCAAACATTAAAATGGCTCAGTTTAGCGAATAATAATTTGACAGTGTTACCTAATGAACTCGTTCATTTAAGAAAACTCGAACATCTTTATCTATTTGGTAATCAATTTTCATTTGAACAGATATTAAAGATTCGAACCATGTTTACAACCAATAAGAAAATTAAAATTTATTATAATAACTTTACGAATTAAAGTATCGATGAAAAAACAACGAATTATTTGTCTATCGTTGAGTAGATGATGACAAGTAAATAACACAAAAAAATGCTGTAAATAGGATGGAACAGTCGTAGAAAAGTACGCTAATGAAAAAGAATGCTTTGAAATTTTTGATGACAAAGACACTCCTCCAAATATCCGCTCAAGTTTCTCTTGAAATCTGCTTATGTATTGGTTCTATTTCATAACGAATATGTTTTCTATTTCGATCTATGTGACATTTTTAGATGGATCTATGAAAAACTGATCTATGGACATCGCATCCTAAATTCCATGATGAGCAAAAAATTTATTAGTAAAAAAAGCTGAAGAATTATATCCAATCATTATTTATTATCAATTTTGCTTCATCACGGACAAAGCATATTTTAATGTAGACTTGGTTTTTCTCATTTCGATTTATATTTATCATATACTCTTAATTTTCTGTTGAGTGATCGTTAGAAACGGCACAAAAAACGCGTTTTTTTTCGAACACATTACCGAACGATCGTTAAAAGAGCCGTTTAAACGCGTTTTCTGTCAGTTCAAACTTTAGAATAACGCGTTTGTTAACTATCGTTGAATTAATCGTTTTTGTTGAACGACGTTAAAATGATCATTGAAACGCATTTTAACGTGTCGTTTCTAAACGCGTTTACAAAAAGGAAAAAATTCGAAGTTATGTCACTTTAACGTCGTTAGAAAATCCGTTCAACAAAAACGCTAGAAAACGGTTAATTCAACGATCATTAACAAACGCGTTGTCAAAGAAAGCGTTATTCTAAAGTTTTGAAAAACGCATTTAAACGGCTCTTTTAACGATCGTTCGCTAACAAGTTCGGAAAAAAAAACACGGTTTTCGTGTCGTTTCTAACGATTTTTTCTTGAAATTGAAATATTTTGTTATTTCGAACTAAACTGTGAAGTACTCATTCTACTGCTCACCATTAATTTGTGGTCAGATAATATAATATCAAAAGGATATGACGAAATGGGTGTTTTCAAACGAACAGATAAAAAAAACGCATTTAAACGATCAAAAGAAAACATTGGTTTTGAATACCCCTGGGATCTTGATTCGATAACTTTCTCTCTTTATTCTTCTTTCTTTTCATGTGTGCATTAAGTTTTGTGTTCAGTATTGTGATACTTACTATATTTATTTCGATCGTTATGAGAATAATAAAGAAGTTTTTATCAGATTTTTGCCGTTTATGTGTACGTTTGTATATACATTTGATCACCGTGTAGGAACAAGCTATTAGTGATTTCAACTAGCTTCCTTATGTGGCGGGACTCGGAACTTAAAAGTTGAACTCAAATTATATGTGTAAGGTGTCTGCGACTCAAAAAATCGAGCAGAATTTTAGTTTTAGTTTTTTTGCCATGGTTGTATAGAGCACAGCGAGTTCCATAGAAAAAACTTACGAGGGAAACCCTCCAAATGTACTCTCGTTTTTTTAAAGAAATGTAGTGGGTTGTAGGTAATCGACCATATTGATTTCGAATATGATATTCATTTGTGTTCATAGGCGTTTCCTAGCCGATTTTTAGAAAACCAGTTTTTCAGAAACCTGGAACGATCCCCACAACTATGTACTTTTAATTCTTTTATCCCCGTTTATAGCGCGTTTTCCACTCTACAAAATCCGGTATAAACAATATCTTCACTATGCTTCCTTATTGAATTAAAAAACGTTTCTCATCTCATGTCAGTAAATGGTCAAACTTTTCAAAATTATTT